GCTTGATGATGTTTTCTAGTGGATGGCGAGAGGTGAAGGTAGCAGTGGAGCTACCCCGCCAAGCCCAATGAGTATTCTTAGTATTAACTGCAGAGTCTGGGCAATACCGATGCAGTTAATAATCTCCGGAACTTAGTACGGAGAAAGGCCCCGTCTCTTGTCTTTCTTATGGAGACGAAACTGAGTAGTGGTGAGATGACAAAAATTCGTGCGAAATTGGTTGGTTATGAGGGGATGGCAGTGGATAGTCGGGGGAGGTCGGGAGGTGTAGCTATGTTTTGGTCTAAGGGTATTGAGGTGGTGCTTCGGTCTATGTCGATACACCATATTGATGTTATGATAATGAAGGGTCTAGGGGTGGATGGTTGGAGGTTAACGGGGTTTTATGGGTGGCCAGAAGTGCATAATCGTCATCTTTCTTGGAAGCTATTGTCCGAATTAGCCATGGGGAGTGATGCTCCATGGGTGTGTATGGGTGATTTTAATGAAATTCACTCCGATTCGGAGAAAAAAGGAGGATGTGATAGAGCTTTATGGCAAATGGACAATTTCAAGGAGGTGGTTGATGTTCATAACTTGAGAGATGTACCCTTCTCGGGGTATGAGTTCACTTTTGATAATGGCCAATGTGGTGATGACAACGTTCAGTGTCTCCTTGATCGTGCACTTGCCACTCAAAGGTGGTTTGATGTCTACCCGAATGTTAAAGTAATTAATTTGGATCGTGAGAATTCGGATCATGCACCAATTAAATTAATTTTGGAGGATACAGGATGCGTGAGGAATAGGGAGAAGGAAATTTTTTTTCGATTCGAGCAAATATGGATTGAGCACGAGGGGTGTGAAGGAGTGGTGGGAAATGCGTGGCTAGGTGGTTGTTTGGTGGAGAACAAATTGGCTCTATGTGCGGCTGATCTGAGGAGATGGAGTGACAAGGAATTTGGCAAAAATTTTAGAGAAATTCGAAAAAAAAAAGGAAGAAATTGAGCTTGCTTAATAAGGGGGATCGGTCTAATGCTCGGGTGCAGGAGAGAAAAAGAGTAGTGAAGGAGATTAATGATTTACTTCATAAGGAGGAAATATACTGGAGACAGAGATCGAGATCATTATGGCTTGAAGCGGGGGATCGGAACACAAGCTATTTTCATGGGAAAGCATCACATCGTCGTTCTAATAATCGCATTACTCACTTGGTAGAGGACGATGGGACTAGACATGATGATCTAGAGAAGATTCAACAGGTGGTGGTGGGGTATTTTCAAAATTTATTTACCTCATCGGCCCCTTCGAGTTATGAGGATGCTCTAGTTGGGATTGATCATAGAGTTTCCGAGGAGATGAATGAGGGTCTATGCGCCCCTTATACTGGTGAGGAAGTCTTCGCAGCGCTTAAACAAATGCACCCATTGAAAGCTCCGGGCCCGGATGGTATGTGTCCTCTATTTTTTCAGACTTATTGGCATATTGTTGGTCCTGCGGTGTGTGGTTTAGTAATTGGTGTGCTTAATGGTGCTGTGATTCCTGAGAAGGTGAATGATACTTTTATTGTGTTGATCCTGAAAAAGAAGGACCCTGATAAAATGACTGAATTTAGGTCGATAAGTTTGTGTAATGTGGTTTATAAGCTGATTACTAAAGTTCTTGCCAATCGTCTTAAATTATTCTTATCAGAAATTACCTCTATTAATCAGAGTGCGTTTGTGCCGGGGAGGTTAATTACTAATAATATTTTGGTGGCTTTTGAATTATTTCATCATATGAAGAACTATAATAGTGAAAATGGGTTTCTGGCGTTGAAATTGGATATGGCAGGGTGGAGTGGGGGTTTCTGAGAGCGGTGATGGATAGAATGGGGTTTGCTGGTCAGTGGGTGGATCGTGTGATGCATTGTGTGTCAACGGTCTCTTTTTCTGTTCTGATAAATGGAGCACCTTCGGGGGAGTTTACTCCAACTAGGGGTTTACGGCAAGGTGATCCTCTTTCTCCATATCTTTTTATTTTGTGTGCTGAGGCTTTGTCTGGTTTGTTGGCTAGAGCGGTGGAGATTGGTAGTTTGCATGGTATTAGGGTAACCCCATCGGCTCCATCTATTTCACATTTGTTGTTTGCGGATGATAATGTGATTTTTTCTAAGGCTAATGTTGATGAGGTGAATACCATTCGACATGTTCTCCACATTTATGAAGTTGCATCTGGTCAAATGGTGAATTTTGGGAAGACTAATGTGACTTTTAGTAAGGGTGTATCACCGGAGAAGGGTGGTGAGTTGGCGGATTTGCTAGGGGTGAGAGTGGTGGATGTGCATGATAAGTATCTTGGTTTGCCTACGGTGATAGGTCGATCAAAAAAGGTGCTTACTAAAGGGGTTAGAGAGAAGGTGTGGAATAGACTTCAAGGGTGGAAGGGGGGATTTTTATCTAAGGCGGGAAGGGAGGTTTTGATTAAGGCAGTGGCCCAATCTATCCCGACCTACGCGATGAGTGTGTTCAGATTTCCCTCTACTTTTTGTGATGAGTTACGATCGTTGGTTGCTAACTTTTGGTGGGGCCAGAAAAAGGGTGAAAGAAAAATTCATTGGGTTGCTTGGAAGAAATTGTGTGATCCTAAAGCGGCGGGAGGTCTCGGATTTCGAGACATGAAGGCTTTTAATTCGGCATTACTAGGTAAGCAAGCTTGGCGTCTCTTGCAGTTTCCTACTAGTTTGGTGGCTCGGGTTTTGAAAGCTAAATATTTTTCTGATGGTGATTATTTGAGTTCCGAGCTTGGTAACACACCAAGTTATACTTGGCGTGGGATTTAAGGCGCCAAATGGGCGGTCCAAAAAGGAATGCGGTGGAGAGTAGGAGATGGCTTAAACATCTCGGTTTGGCATAGTCCTTGGATCCCGGGGACTCAATCGAGAAAAGTGATTTCTCCTAGGGGTAATGCTCCGATTGACATGAAAGTATGTGATTTAATTCATCTCACAACGGCCTCTTGGGATGTAGAGAAGGTGACTGGAATTTTTCTTCCTTTTGAACGTGATCGTGTGTTGAGCATTCCCATTAGTATGCGGCTTCCGGAAGACTTGTTGTGTTGGGACCTTGAGAAGAATGGTGAGTACTCGGTACACTCGGCTTATAGGGCGATATATGGGGAGTGGGATGTGGAGAATGTGGCTTCATCTTCAGCTCCTGTTAATTTTTGGAGTAAGGTGTGGAGTGCCACTACTCTTCCTAGAATAAAGGTGTTCTTTTGGAGGGCTTGCAAAGGTGCTTTACCAACCTTGCTGGGACTGAGTAAGCGGCTGCCGGAAAGGGACTCGTTGTGCTCTTTGTATGGGGTAAAGGAAGAGTCGGAAATTCATTGTCTTAAGGAGTGTGTCATTGCTCGGCTGTTGTGGGATTCGAGTGGGATTGGAGGTGATGTGCAGGGTCGATTTGGCTCCTTTATTGAGTTCGCATCGACGTGTTTCGAGAGGTTGCCACAAAGGGAGCATGGCCTTTTTATGACGATATGTAGGTCAATTTGGAATGCAAGGAACAAATGGATTTTCGAAGGAGAAGCTTGCAACCCTCAACTATCGATGGAGTATGTGTCGAAATTGATGGGCGAGATTAGCAAGGGGAAGGAGGTTGAAGGGGCAGCAAGTTGTGGGGTGAAGACACGCTGGAAACCTCCCAGAGAGGGATGGGTGAAGCTCAACGTGGATGGTGGTGTGTGTGATGGGCTGTGGTCTTGTGCTAGGGCGGTGGTTCGGGATTGTAGGGGTGAGGTGCAACTGGCAGCGGTGCATATGTCATCTGATCGGTGGCTGCCACAAATTGCAGAAGCGAAAGCCTTATTCTTTGGCTTACAAGCAGCAGTTAACTCCGGGTTCCGAAGGGTGGTGGTTGAGAGTGACTGTCTAGGACTCATCAATGCGATCGTATCTCAAGAAGCAGGAAGAAATGATTTTTTCTTAATTTTGGATGACATTCTTCATGTTAGTAGTTTGCTTGAGTCGGTGTCTTGGTCCTTTATTCGTAGGGAGGGTAATAAAGTAGCTCATGCTTAGCTCATTGCTTGCCATGGAGTGAAGGTAGCTATATTTGGCTTTCGAATTTTCCGTCTTGTATTGTTAGTTCTTTGAACATTGATTTCCCTATGAATGAAAATTAGCGCTCTTTGAGCGTTTCTCCTCAATATATATATATATATATATATATATATATATATATATATATATATATATATATATATATATATATATATATATATATATATATAGCTAAACTTTTAGCCAGGCGACGAGACAGTGACACTTAGCGTTCTAACTTTTCGCCAAGTGTCGTGCCACGTAGGATAGAGTTATATAAAATTCAATTTGTAGGATAAAAAAGTTAGTTTAGAATTTTATTTTCAATCAAATTTGGATAGAATTTTAGGATAAAGTTGTTAATTTAGAGTTTTATTTTTGATAAAGTACCAATATTTCATAGGTACAAATTGAATTATAATTTTATTCAAAAAATAATTAGATTATAATTCTCATAAATCATCATATAAATTTAATTTTTTATGTCATAATATATTTTTTGGAGCGAAGGAATTAGTTTAAAGTGTAAAACATCTATTTATATTATATACTAATCGGTTAAAATAATATACTTCACAACTAATAGAATTTTATTAGGGTTCGGGTCAACCCAACAGGCTTTGAACATTTAAATTATTTAATTTATTATGTGTTTATTTTTTTTAATGTATTAAATCGAACATTTCCACCAATATAAGTATTAGTCATTACATGCCTACTATCAATGGTATATTTTAAAATTTGACATTTAGATTAAAAATTTATCTTTAAATTCATTAAACAACCCGGGCATTGCACATGCACAAAACTGGAAAAAAGTGTATTATTCCGTTTCAATAATTCCGTTGGTATTATTCCATTGAAGCGGTTCTGAAGTTCTGAGCTTTTTCTCCTTCATTGAAGAGGCTTCTGAGGTAATTTTTTTTTTATTTTTTTTTTATTAATCGAATTTTAATTTCACAATCTAGGGTTTATCGTTTTCCCTCTTCTCTACTCTCTATGAAATGAAGCAACCAATCTGGTTCACTGCTTGCTTAGTAATCTACTCTCTTCTGTATTTTTAAAGCTTGAATTAGAGGTTTAATGTATATCTATCAACACAATTTCTTATGTATAACATTGTTAGTTGACGAGCATTTGAATTTTTCTTCAATTTAAGTCTTAATGCAACTGTAAATTGGTTCCAACATAATGCCAGAATATTTGTAATTTTTCTATTGTGTTTGGTGATGAATTATTATTTGTTTGATTGATGATAATGGGGTGTTAAAAGAAATGAAAAGAGGATAAAGAATAATTTCTTAATTTCTTTTCTCAATTTTCATACACAAATTAAAAAGCTCAAACCCTAACTTTCTTTCTCTATCTCTAGCTCTTCTCACTGCTCTAGCCGCCGCCTCGTGACCTCGTCGGTGAGTAGACTGGGTGCGGTGGTTCCGTGGTTGTGACCGACGGGTCCGACGGCCTGCTGCCAGCCTGCGACTCTGCGAGGTAAGTTTATGTAATTCTGTCGCTGTTTTTTTTTTCCAATTTCTTAAATAGTTAGTTTAATTTGTTTTGTAATTGGGTTATTTGTACTTGTTTATAATTATAAATTGTACTATTGTAGAATGTAGATTGTTAGTTTGTTTTCTATTAAGTATTTAAGTGTTAATCTGTTTTTTTCAATTTGTTTTTGAATTTTGAGTTTTTCAATTTCTTAATTGTTATTATGTTGATTGAATGATTGTTAATTATTTTGTAACTTTTGTTCATTTGTTGTATTGTTAGACATGTTAGTTTGTTACTGTTAAATGAATTATGAAAGATGGACAGTAGATGTAGTACTAATTAATTTTTATTTAAAATTATTGTAGTGTACTAGTGTGTGACCATGAACACTTTATTTTATACTTGAATACCCGATTTATATCCTTGTATTTGGATATCGAGTGTTTGATAAAGTTCGAACCCCCTAGGTTCAATTCCTGGATCTGCCACTGGTTGCTGTAATCAATATTTATACACACATTTTCATACAAATATCTACGAGATCATTTTGGTCTCATTGAATGCTTAACTACGTAGTGCCTTATGAATTCAACTTTTCTTGTCCATCAGTTCTCTTTTGACTCTCTAAGGTTGCAAGAAATATATTCCGCATTTTAAGAGTTGATGGGTGCTCAAAGTTTGCTTACAAGACTTTCAACAAGTGCTTTTGTGCCATCTTTCAAGGACTTTCAAGGCTCGTTGTCTGATACAGCAATCCCTTGTTTTCTTCTACCAACCAAATGGAGTTCTATGCCAGCCGATCAAAAATATGGTTTATCAACTTGTAGAATTAGGACTAGTAGAAGACAATTCTTATGTTCAGTCAGCTCCCGTAAAGTAGAAGATACTTCTGACAATTTAGCACAATGCAGTTCGAAGCCTAGCAGGAAAAGGTTGGCAGTTTTTGTGTCCGGTGGAGGTTCTAATTTCAAGGCAATTCATGAAGCAACACTCAATGGATCAGTACTTGGAGATGTAGTTGTGTTGGTTACCAACAAAGAAGGTAAAATATAGCATCTTTTATTTTTGCATTGACAAGAATGTGAACTCCGGTAGAAGATCGTTTTTCCCTAGAGTTCACTCTCACCTTTTTTCTGATCTATGTTTTTTGTATGTATGCGTTTCATTTAGATATCATCTGCTTCTTAAGAAGTTTAGAATTCTGTTTAACATTCTTTAGTGTTCATGCTTCCATTTGATGTGTTTCATATTTTCTTTATGTGTGTAGCTATATATCACTAACTTACTTGCTAGCTTACTCATTCATTTGGTTATAAATAACTAGCTGTGAAAATTTCATCATTTGATTTGGTTATAAATAACTTGCGCTGTCGGATGCACCGTATGTGAATGACAGGCTGCGGAGGTGCAGCCTATGCAAAAGAAAATGGTATTCCAGTTGTTTTGTTTCCAAGAACAAAAGAAGAATCACAGCAATTCTTATCCAGTGACCTTGTAACTACTCTTAGGTTAGTTTCTTGATAACACTTTATTTGCTTTACTACCCGGGATCATTATTCTCTTCCTAATTCCAAATAGCAGACTAGAGTAATTCCTTAACCAAGAGTCGTGTAAAGTTTATTTCTTGTTGCATAAAACTTGTTATTTTTTTTTTTCAGGTTGCTTAATAAACATGTATATGTACCTCCTCCATATTTTTAGTTCTTCCACTTTGACTTTTAAGTGTGACAATGTACAACTTTGACTTTACAACTATATTTTAGTGAAACATGTAAAAAGTTGATATTTTAAAAGTACATATTGAGTCACATATATAATTACATTTGTATTTTATATAGTAGTGAAATGTATGGTTTAAGTAGGGTATGTAAAAACTGCAAAAATCAAACTAGAGCAACTAAAAAAGAGGGAACTCTAACTGATTGTTGAAGCTTTGATTATTAGCATCTTGGGCATCAATACTTAGTGATGACAATACATGATCCATTTTGAGTGTAAAATTTTATTGAGTGGGAGAATGAGTTTGCACCAGCAGAGTATGTGATTGCAAAATGTAGTTTTTTACATTGAGTCAATCCTTCTTTTTAAAATATTTATTGTATGAGATATTGGCATGAAGAATAAAAACTTCGAACGCTTGGTTAGTCTGGCACTAGTACTAAAATATGTCTTTTGGGGGAAAAGACATAAGGGGTCGTTTGCTATGGGGTAAACAAGTAAAGTAAAGGTAAACAATGCTCATGTCTACCATTTATGTTATTTAGTTGATTTTCGAACATTTCTATATCCCCTTTGTAGTTTCGGCTCAACCCAAATATCTCTACACCCATCCCCCTCTCCCAAGGGTTTTGTAAATTGCCCCATTATGTATTTCTACACTAGTACTAAAATGTCTTTTTGGACACTTCACGTTTAGTTCTAAATTATAGATTTTTTTTTCACAAAAAATAAGTTGTAAAATGTAAGTGAGAGTGTAAAAAGGTGAGTGGTTGGGTGTAAGATAAAGTGAGCGAGAGAGTATGGAAATGTGCAAATAAATGGGGAAAGAGGGGTACTATGGAAAAGAACCAAAAATGAAATCAAGTAATTGTGTAGAACATAAACGCAAACTGATTAAAAAAAGAAAAGGAAAAGATGTAGTATCAGACCTTGTCTCCGAAGAGACAAGAAAAGATGAAGTATAATACCATCCATGTGTGTGTGTGTGTGTTTGATACTTTGATCATCCACTTTGAGGTCAAAATTTTATCTTAAGAGTTGTTAGTTATATTAAGTCTTCTGGAAATGTCTAGAATACCTCTGACAATATCACCAAATTTGCTTTCAAAATGTAATAAATCTGGGCACTATAAGTCCACCTATAACTTTTGATGTTACTTTTCCCAAATGGTTCATGCCATATTAATTCTGACTTTGAATGTAAAATACTTGATGTGCCCCATCCACGTTTCTGAGGCTATTTCCGCAATAGAATTTTGGTTTGAAGATCTTGTTTCTTTGTGAACGTACTTAGTGAATCAGTTTTGAATTTTATGTAGGGAACTTGAAGTGGACTTCATACTTCTTGCTGGATATTTAAAGCTTATACCAGTTGAATTAGTTCAACATTTTCCTAAGCGTATACTAAATATACATCCTTCACTTCTACCAGCTTTTGGTGGCAAAGGCTATTATGGGCTCACGGTTCATAAAGCAGTTATTGCTTCTGGAGCAAGGTAATGTTGTCGTTCGGAATTATATTGTAGGTTACTCGTGAAGTCGTGATTTATATTACTTATATTGCAAAAAGTGTAGAATTAGATTGCATTTGTTGGCTTTTAGCACATTCAAATAACACATTAGATCATCGTGAAAGAGGAATCTTGTACTAAACTTTCGGCGGCAATGCTTTTTTGGATGGGTGCTCAAATATATCAAAAGTTTATGAGAATGGTCCTTTTATTAGATGTGTGATGTGAAATGGTTGTGTCAAGACAATACCTTTTATCCCTTGATTTCTACATTAAATTTGCCCTTGATTATGTTTGGTTCACAATATGTCCATACAGGCATACATTACTCAGATATGTGGCAATAGTGAATCATCGCGGCTTGATTTTAACCAGTTGTTTTTTAGCATAGCTCTAAATGGGAGTGCAGGTGTTTTATTTATCTTAGGAATTTGTTTAAGCTTACTATCCTCTTAAATACTCTTTTCTTGTCCAGATACTCTGGTCCCACTATCCATTTTGTTGACGAGGAATATGACACTGGCCGGATCCTTGCCCAACGAGTTGTGCCTGTGTGTGCTTTTGACACTCCAGAGGAGTTGGCAGCTCGGGTTCTGCATGAGGTAATGTTAACTTGAGGGACTTTGTTACAAAATAAGTCTGCAATAAGGTTAATGCTGTGTAATTGCGAGTGATTATATCCAAATTGCCAAAGTTTGCGTGTCTACATCTATGAACTTGCATAGTCGATTTTCAAGTCTCTTGATTTCTCCAGAAAAATATGTACTGCTCAAGTAAATCTGTTTTTATTTTATTTTATTTACAGGAGCATCTATTATATGTGGACGTAGTTGCAGCAGTATGTGAAGACCGGATAATTTGGAGGGATGATGGTGTTCCACTTATCCAAAGTAAAGAAGATCCACAGCAATACAATTAGGTTAGCTTTTGGCTGTGTAGGAGATCAACCTCAGGGCAGATCACATATTGCTCTATAAAAATGAGCCTTTCTTATTTTTTCAGGCACATTCAGAGACTGACAAAATTTTGGCACTAGACTATGGTATTGGACTATTGGTGCCCTTCTATATCAGGATAGAGCTTCTAGGATTCGATATAGAAATTTCTATTACTGACCAAATGAGAATTGTACCAATAAGATTATGTATACCTGGTATCACCTATCATTAATGTATCTTGAAGCTGTATTATTCCAATCTATTTTGGGATTGTGGAACGAGGAATGACAACACACTGACCATTTTTGAGATAGCCATTGAACACTGTAAGGTTCCTACAATGATAAATTAGCAGCTGAGTTTTGGTTTTACTTGCTATATTATTGCAAATGGCAAATGCAAAGGTACATTTTCTCTACAAATGTATTACTCATCACATATGCTACTGAACTACTATGGAAAAAATGAAGTAGCTCAACACTTTCCTCTAAAAAACTACTTGATACTTTGTATTACTTGTATACTCCAGATAATTTCTTTCACTACTAAGATCCACAACAAAAGTCACTAATAGTTACTTTCATTTCGTACATTACAACTATACCCTTACTCTACCCATAGCTGGGCAAAATTACCCATGTTGTTTCATAATAAACTGATGTTAATTTATGATGAACTGCACGAAAACTTCTGATACACCGTATGTGAAGCCTGGGTTACCCTGCCATAACTCAAAATTAAATATATTCTGTTTATGCAACCCCGTATATATTGTATGTTACCCAACTGATGGAACCTTGAAAGCGGATGTTACAATGGGGAATTTTACATTATCCTGCTCCATCTTTACTACAGATACTAAACCTAAAATAGTGGTACAATTGCTTACACTGGTTGCTAGTAATAGTACAACAAAATGTTAAATATACTATTCCAACATCGAGGGTGATTCTCTTTGAGTAGGACTAACACTACCTCCTCGACTAATCTTGAGTGCTCTTATTGCTTTCTGTATTTCCATCGTCATAGCACTGTCTACACTACCTGATGACAGTTTCTTATGTGATTTTTGCAAATGAAGTTTTAGTGAACTACTGCTCAGCCCAACATTCTTCCCACATATAGGGCAAACTTTCATGGAAGGTTTCCTCTGTTGCCACTCCATTGAAACCTTCCCATGCAGTGATTTATCCCAATCCTGTAAAATCTTAGCAAACCCATCGTTTGGCTGGGCTCGCCGGTGAGCTTTCTTCAGCCTATTCCATGCTTCTAACAAAGTCAAGTTCCTGTATCAAAATAAACCTGTAGGTTATTCTCAGAAACCCACATAAGTTTATAATCACTAGTGTCGTCAGTTTTCTTGTCCTTTTAATTGTGCGCAGGACGAAGCAGGGCAATAGACATGAATTTCAGGCAATCAGTCAGGAAAAGTAGTGGCGACAAAGTAATCAAGGGTGGTAACTACTTTCGTGAGTCATGACAGGAATTACAGTTACAAATCTTAAATTTATAGGACACAATAGTATCAATTCAACTTACTTCTTCTGCATGAGATAGGCAAGAACCACTGTCGCGCTTCTACTTCTTCCTTCAAAGCAATGAACCAAAACCTTCCCATTTGTTTTCTCAACATTGTCTATGAAGTCACAGGCTTCGTTGAAAATAATACTGATGTTTGAATCTTCCTCATCACTAATCTATCCCATTAAGTGATACAGCATGAAAAGCAGAAAAAAAATAAGCATTTCCAAACAATAACTAGCTTCAGTGTACTTGACAAATACTTCGTAATTCATAATGGGTGTATTGATGCACCATCAACATATTTTCATCTAAGAGGGAACTTACAAAGAAGGTAGTTATGATTTGCAATGCAGTAAACGTCTTGTTTAAGTTCTTTTACCATATATAAACTAAAGCTGATACCTTCACATCTTCAATTTAATGATCATGCAGGTTTTGTTAAGAACTGAAAATATGGACTTATCTACTTAGAATTCTTTACAGTAAATATGCTCTATGATCACAGTCTCTTTTGAGTTATTATTCAATTAAGCTAAAGTAATATAACTCCTCTGTTCCAATTTACTTCCAAGTTCCAACCTATGTTGCACAGCCTCGGATTTGGGTGTCGTGTCCAACATGGTGCCAGATCCTCCAACACTCCAGATTTTATAAAATTTTATATAAGGTAGTACTGCAGTAGTATTTAGGTGTCGTGTCATAATTTCACTTTCACGTTTACCAATGCATAACTTGACCATTGATATCTTCAATTATGATTAAGTAAAAATTATCAAAAGTTGACATTATAACAGTATATATTGAGACAAATCTAATAAGATAACACTTGACTAAATGTCTATTTATTGCCTTACATATCAATCAATAAAGAAAGTCAAATAGAACTATGTGAATAATGTCAAATGTTCGACTGTTGCGAGTAAAATGGAACAGAGGAAGTATATATAACGGGAGGGAGGTTGGGATGTTACTTACTGAAAAGTTTTGATATTTAAACAGGTCGAGGAACTGTGAGTCTGATTGTCCAATTTCATTTGAGCAAAGGCAGAGTACATGTGTGATTCCTAGATGCTGGAGTGTGAACACAGATCTTGCAGCCAGTGCTCCGCTTATGAACAAATTATCTGTAATTAATGATGGCTTTTCTGTGTTGGCAGCATCAGATATCAGTGAGATCCTCTCAAGGATATGCTCCAGCCTAACCTGCAAGTTTACATAGATTCACAGCAAAAAATTTATACCATCAACTTTAAAACGAATATTCAGTGACCAATAATATAAATATACAAGTGGACAAATTGGTTCACACCTTTAACTCATAAGCATCAACCACCGTGTTATTATCACTCCCCTCAAAAAAACCAGAATTAAAATTATTTTCATAACATAATTTGACTACATCATTGCGTAGCGTATCATTCCACAGTTCCAGTTCCTTACTCAGTTCAGCATCAACCTGAAAATATTACAGAGAACTTTCAAATTTGCATGAATAAGAAGCTTGTTCGTCAAAAATCTACAATCTAAACAGCTAGAGGTTTGGGTACAACCATACAACTTGCAAAAGAAACTTCTTGGAGATATACATATGATAAAGTATCTACACAAAATTGAGGAAAATATATATATAAACATAATGATAACTAGTGAAGTCAGAGCAAAAGTAAGCCATTGGTAGCAAAATTTCTTATATTCAGCTATACACTTCATGGATATTTAAATCCAACTCTTTCAGCTAGAAGTTCAAATACCTATAGCCTAGATTCAGAAGACTTCCATTTGCAAATAATCAATGCATGAGACAGGAACTTTTCAAGAACATATAGAGTGCTACACAACCATGCCAGATCACAAATTATCATTTACAAAAGTAAATTTATAAGGCAAAAAATGAGTTTGATTTTAGAAAAAAAAAAAGAACTGAAAATAGAGAAACATAGAGTTTAATTTTCAATAATTAAGCAAAGTAAATTGAATACATCGTTTTATACAAATTAGAAAATGCTTGAAAATATTTTAAACAAGAGCCAATTATTATATAATTAAAAGTTAAAAATTAGACTTTTGGTTTGATCCTACTTATGTCATTATGTGCGTATCAACAGTACAGTTTCATTCAATTAATTTGTGCACAATGGGAACTATAATGGGGCGTAAGAAGTGACACCTAAAACATTAAATCTAGATTTATTTTAATTCATGTGTGATAGTAGAGACTAGTGAAATAAGATAGAATATGTGAGCTAAACAAATCTTATTCATGTTGAACAAGAAGACTTATAGTATGACTTTTAGATGAAAAATCTATAGGAGGGTTTATAATTCCCGATCATATTATAAACAACATTTTACAAACTCATGCAATACTAACAAGATGGACAATGCACGGGCTTAACAGCTAGTAGCATTCTATAGTTAAAAAGAATTCTAAAATCAAGAATTTCTTTCATTTGTATAAGCCTTTTTGCAAAGTTACTTCCCACACTTTAGAACTCAAACGAGTCATCCACGTATAAATTACTAACCTATCCGTTTATCATTACAAAAGTATACTCTGCAGCTCTTCTAAATAGATTTTTATACTCCGTATTTTTTTATTGATAAATGCCTTTCCAGAAACTAGCCACCTATAAAGTATAAACTACAAAAGGGCATGTTACCACCCTTGCCAGACTCAATGAAATCATCTACACCCAGAATTTGCCTGTTCTTAACAGAATATATAATTGAGAGAAACGTGAAACACACAGGTCTATTCAAAACTTTTTGGACTGGTATGCAAGTTGTCAACTGTCACCCTAGATATTTGAGAAACGTGAAACACACCTTTGCATATTTATGGAAGTCTCGGAGCTTTGTTGTCAAGCGCAAGCAACGAACAGCCTCACCACTCCATTTTGCATACTTTCCCTGGGAGCTTTCTCGCGAGCTCGGAGAAATAGAGTCGGAATGATCCTTAGGTCCTGAAGATGATTGCTTGTCATTTGAGACTGGAGTACTATCGTGTGCTGTGTGTTCCTTTGTATGCGAAGCGGGTGAAGAGAAATGGACTCCGGCAGATTTCGGTGACTCAGGGACCATAAAATCCTCTTTATCTGATTCCCCAGCAGAATTTCGGTTAACTATACTCATAAAAGTGCGTAAAACTGTATCCAGCTTTTGGTTCAGAGTAAGCAGGAACATATGAAAACCCTGCATGTCCCTTAGAGCAGCACGAAACCCAATCCGGAATGCTTGGACAATGGACTTCATCTCAGTAGAACAATCATTTATGTTATCAGCTTCAGGATACCCTAATTTACCTCCTGATATTTCATATAGCAGATGTGAAGAATATGTGGAGCTATTCAGAAGCAGCTCCACTAACCTTGGATAGTTTTCCTGGTCATTAGCACGTTTCCCAGCTGGAGGTCTTCGAGGAACACCAGAGTCAATGGCTACAATATTAAAATCCGTATCACCCACTTCATCCAAATGTTGATCTTCCACAAGTACTCTGCTGGATATTGGCGATTTCATGACATCAGTAAGATCAGACTTTTGTGACTTCATTTTAGTATTATTAGGGTCCAATCTGCTATCAACAGAATTTGCCCTTCTCTCTTTCTGCAGAGCCCTGACCACTCTTGGTCTGAAACGTTTCATTGCAGAATCATATGCATCCTCCAACAAGTCCTTATTTGCAGAGACATTTTTGTCAGCAAACAACAAATTAGCAAAATTGCCACGCCAGC